GTTGTTTTAAGGAAAGTATTAAGACTTTATTAGTAAAGAAGTATAAAAACTTCTTGCAAACATCTTTTTTGTGTGTGATCAGAGGATCAGCAGATTTATTAAACTAATTATATTTACTTTAAAATATATCTACAGTATATATTTAAAAAGCATATATGATATATAATCTTGATTTTTAATAGAAAATTAAAATTTATTTAAGATAATATTAATAATGATTGAATTTAAATTTATGAAAATATGATTATAAATTTTATCCATTAAAAAATATTTTGTTTAATATATATTGTAAAATCAATTTTATATCTTTTAAATTAAAGTATTATATAAAACATATTGTAACAAAAATAAAATAAGAATTCATAATTCTAATAATGTCAGTTTTATTTTATTATATGTTTATTGAATTTAAATTAATAATATTTTCTATAAGGTAATATTAAAATTAATAAAGTGATTTTGCTTAAGTGTCTTTTTATAGCTTATCAATAGCAAATGAGGCAAATGAATCAACTACCAATTGATTCAAGTCCCATAAGTGTACGTTTCATCAAATCACTGGTCGAGAGAATTATTCGGTGGTGATGATAATAGAGGGTGATAATTTGATCGATATCAAATTTAAAGTTCATATTTACACGCAAGATTTAAACCTTTAAAGTACCACCATTTGAGCTCATAGTTTTTAAGAGAGGACATCGTTCGCATGTGTAATGTACTTTTTTTTTACTCTCTAATTAAATCTCTATTAAAAATATGTGCGCACGAATAAAAATAATCTGGATCTAACTGATTAAGAGAATATGCATGCTACAGATTTCTAAAGATAAATTTATCATTGTTGACATTGAAGTTACACGTACCAAAAGCTTGGCAGATTCAAATTTATCTCGACGTGAAGGATGTATTGTGTGATCGAGATTTGCGCCCCAATTTTAGCTATATATACGACAAAATTCTGCTCTATTTTCTTGCAACCATTTCAACAGTCTAATGACGTACGTGATCTGAAGGAAGCGAGATTTAAAAATCCAAAGTTTGATTAACCATGTCCGATTCAATTAACAATCAATATCCTCAATATCAAATCACCATCGAAGATTTACTATCACATCCAGTAGATGATTCCAACGATGTTCTGTCGAAGAAAGAGGAGTCAGTCAAAGATTTGCCGATTGAACCATTAGAAAGCGTTTCGGTAGTGGACCGCCCACCGCCATATGAGTTTGCTTCAGCCGATAGTGCGCCTGCGTATTCGGGTGCTTCCGTATCCGCACGAACACCGGCTCCGGTTAGAGATTCGGTTTCTGGTACGGTGACACAACAAACACACACGGGACCTGATGACTCTCCAATTTTAACCCGGATTCCTTTAAGAAGTATGGATTTTTTTTTCCTCTTTTAATCAGGTTAATTGCGATATATAAATCTGAACATTCAATGTCGTGTTGGTAGAATACGATGGTGGCGAATGCTGCTGTTCCACAAATAGTGGAAAGTGTTGCTGCCTAGTATTGATACTGATTGTTATACTTATTATACTGGGGGTTAAGTGACTCAAATTCTCCTTATCTTTTCGCCTTTCCGTTATATTATAAACATCTTTAACTCTTTGACGCTAGGTGATCGCAAAAGTTAATAACGATGCTTGCAACAACCTCAATCCCAATAATGAGGATAAAATGTACTATTCATATGATCCAAATATTTATACAAACTTTTCAATTGATTCTTCGGACAGCTACATTCAGGTAGTCATCCCGCATCCCATCATATTTTATCTGGCGTTAGCTAACCTATCCTTTCCATTTTAGAAAGGTGCTCTCTTGATATTTCAGAATCCGTCAAATGCAACGAATTCCACAATATGGGTACAAGTGGCGGCCCCAGGAAGAGCACCGGCGCACATCT